TGCAGGGTAGAGGGTAGCAAGAGATCGAGGTAGAAAGGGATGAAGGTATCAAGAGTTTGTGAAGTCAGTCAGTTGTCAAAAAGTCAGAATCCGGATGAAAGGTGGGTCCATAAGCGAGAAGGGAAAGTAGAGAGCAGCGGAGCGAAGACGACGTTGGAGGTAAATTCTGAATGCTCGTTGATAAAGTGGGCGGTCTAACATTATGTGGCTGACCGATAATGGAACCTGAATTCTCGGAGAGGAGCCGGGCGCCTCTCCACGAGATACCCATGATTAAGACTAATATGGCCAATGCGGAGACAGGAGAGAGTAGTCTCCCAACCTCGGCACTGGTGACAAGAAGACGGTCAGTAACCAATGTTGTTGCCAACGGGTGTGAAGGTGGGTAGCTATTGCAGCAAAATAGTCCGTAAATGGAACACTTCTATATGAAACTGGTAGGTCATGTACTGCTGACCGTGCAGCAATGTGCCTGTTCATTGCCCTGTACGTCAACATGACCAGGGACCCAACAAAATACTATACGCTTGGTAGAGATGTGGCATAGCCAAAGTTGGAAACAGGACTAAGGGGCGAGGTGTATCAAATTTCCGTATAGCCTGTAAAGGACTAAGGGAGTCAGACAACCACAAATGATGACACAGGCATAGATGCAATACGGATAGGTGCTGCAAGAATGGCATACAATTCAGCAGTAAAGATACTAGCCGAAGATAGTAAATGCCCTAGTATGACGCTGTCCGGAAACACTGCTGCGAATTCTACACCGTCAGAAGTCTTAGAGCCATCTGTGTACACTGCAATGGAATGAGAATGAGAGTGGAAGTGGTCAAGAAAAAGAGCTGGAAGCTACCATAGACAGTTGGGCTTTCAACCAAGGGAGTGAGAAAGAACAGACTCAAACAACTGGAACTTCCCAAGAGGGTAGGGAAGTGAGATGCTACATGAACATAGAAAGGTGGAAATTGAAGAGAAGACAAGAGCGAATGTAGGTGAAAAGAGAAGGGATGGAGCAAACAGAGGCAGCGAACAAATAAAGAATGTCTACTAATATCGGTGACCATTCTATAAATGGAAGGATTGTGGAGATCATTAGAGCGTACATAGCAGCGAAGGCAATGGGCATCACAGCGATCGGATAAGGATGGAATGTTCGCTTCTGCATAGAGGCTCTCAACAGGGGAAGAGCGAAAAGCACCAAGGCATAAATGTAATCCTTGGTGATGAATAGGGTTGAGGCTAGATAGAGTAGCAGGAGAGGCAGCTGAATAGATCTGGTCACCACAGTCAAGTTTCGATAAAATGAGGGTGGAATGTAGGCGAAGGAGAGTTCGACGCTCGGCTCCCCATGAAAGATGAGCAAGGGTTTTAAGAAGGTTCAGCCGGCTGTGACAAGTTCGTCTTCAGAGAGGGAATGTGAGGTTTCCAGGATAACCTACGGTCAAAGAGGAGGCTTAGAAACCTGACTATCACGTTCTGGGATATGGGTGCCATAGAGGTATAAAGGATGATCGGAGATGACAGTGTCTAGTGAAAGTAATTTGGCCACTTTTGGTACTGGAAAATTTAAACCTGTGTGTGGTGGCCCAATTGGAAACACAGTCGGCCGCATGCTGGATAGAAACTGTAACAAGGTGACAGTCAGCGCCTGCACAGGCAATAGCGAAGTCATCAACAGAGTGATGACCAAATATTGGATGGAAGACTAGAGGCCAAATCATTTATAGCAAGGATAAAAATGTGCTCAAAACACATCCATGGGGGACACCTTCAGCTTGGATAAAGTCCAGGGAGAGCACATTAACCCGAACACGGAAATGTCTTTCAGTTAAAAAGTTCTTAAGGAAGGATGGTAGATTGACTCGAAGGCCTAAGGAGTGGGCTTGGGGCCAAAATATTATACCTCGAAGTTGTATCATATGCCTTCTCAAGGTCAAAAAATATGGCAATAAACGAGTGGCTATTCGCAAAGGAATTACGAACATACATACCCAAGCGTAGTAAGGGGTTTACGGTAGAACGGCCCTTACGAAAGCCATATTGACGAGTGGAGACTGGCGTCTCTAAATACCACACTAAATGTCTATTTACCAGGCCTTCCATCACATTTCAAACTGCACTTGCAGAGCAATGGGACAATAGTGGGAGGCTTCATGTCTCGCAGTACCCGGTTTGCAGAAATGGAGAACAATGGCAGATTTCCACAGCTGTGGAAGAACTTGTGACCAAACAAGATTGAAAAGGCGTAATAGGACTGCAAGGGCTGACTGATGTAAATGTTGTAGCATACGAATATGAATGTCGTCAGGCCCAGCTGCCGATGATCGGCAAGCTGAGAGTGTTGCCTCCAGTTTCTGAAGTGTAAAAGGCACATTATACTGTTCTTTCCTGAGAGAAGAAAATTCCAAGGGTGCTAACTCTCGGGCAGACTTTGAGGAAAGAAACGAGGGGCATAGATGGAGCCCCTGAGAAATATGGACCAGATGATTGCCAATTTCATTGGCAACATCTAGTGGGTTTGCTATATCAACATCGGCAACCCGCAGAACAGGAGCCGGGTCAGGAGAATATTACCACTCAGTTTTCGTACTTTTTTCCCCAGACTGCACTCAGAGGAAGCAGAGGTGATGGTGGAGACAATCTCGCCACCAAGTGCATTTAGCATCACGGCGAGCAATCGCACGCTTCTGCTTAAAATCAAGAAGTCTCTCAGTGGTTCTATTGTACTGGTACCTGTCCCATGCAGCACGTTTCAAACACACTGCACGAGCACAAGCAGGAAACCACCAAGGCACGCATTTCTGAGAATGCCTGCCCGAAGTTTGGGGTATAGAATGAGAAGCTGTGGTTAAAACGTAGGACGAGAAGAGGTGTAAAAGCTAGTCAATGGAGGACGAAGAAGGAACCTCACTAAAAACAATTAGTTGCGAGTAAAGGTTCCAATTTGCCTGATCAAATTGCCAGCGTGGGTTATGAAGAGGTGGTGAATATGAAGGGGAAGCAAGAATGATTGGGAAATGATCGCTGTCATGCAAATCTGGGAGAACAGACCAGGTGAAGTCTAATGCGGCGGAGGAAGAGCAGAGAGATCGATGCAAGAGAGTAGGAGTCTGAGGATCAAAATGGGTGCGAGTACCTGTATTTAAAACATGGAGGGGGTGGGTAGCAAGAAAAGCCTCCAACTGAATGCCACAGGAATCACAGAGGACCCCCCCCCCCCCAGAGGAAATGATGGGCATTAACTCCTTCAGGGTCCAAGGCCCAAATCTGAAGTGGTGCCCCAGTGTCCAAGAATTTAAAAAAAGTTTTTTTTTCTTATGAAATGGTAGAGAATCTTTTTACGAATGTAATAAAACAAAGTATGAAATTTGATGGAAAATTGACGAAATTATGCTCTTGCGAATTTTGATATGTCAGCGATATTTACGAATCGGCGATTTTGCCGACTGACTCCCATTTTAGGCCAATTACATTATTCCAGTCAACCAAATTCTTAGCTATTTCACTATTTCGCGAACATTCCACTGTAAATAGGTCTATTAGAAATGCTATAATATAGAAAATAAAATTTAACATTCCAACTAGAATGACCAACCTAAAACCCTGACTAGCAAATTTATACTAATTTTATATTAGCCAAATGGGCCCTGCTTTATGGTGCTTTGTTAATACAGACTTACAGCTCCTAGTTCACTATTACTGCAGTCAAACACCTGTCCACTCTCAGTTTATATCATTCATGATCTGTCTCCTGATTATGTGTAAACATCCCATAGTTTCAAGCATTTTGAAGTTAGTGTATTTTCTATACATGTATATACTGTGTTACACAACACCTAAGGATAGTTGTGATGGAAAGGGGAGTCAAGGCTCTAAGTGCAAAGATAAAAATCATTAAACTCAGTGAGCAAGGCATGTCTTTGGCCATGATAGTACCAAGGTACTACTGATAACTGTACACAAGACATTGTGCTAGCATGCAGGTACAGTGAAAATTGACCACTACAAAATATGAGTAGCTATGCCAGGCAAGGAAGTAATCAAGAGTCAGTGTTGAAAATGCAATAGTTCTGGAGTACTTTAAATGTACTATGTTACTACAGCATTCATTAATCCATACTAGACTTAAAAATTATGTAAGAATCATGCTATATATCACAAACAAAATACATACAAAAACAAATTAACATTGCAAAGTGTAGTAACCAGATGGCTTGTAGGTTAACAGCAAGAATTGTATTTTTTTCAAGTACAACAAACTGTCTAGTATTACTGAGGGGGGATGGGAGACTAGAAAAACCATTCCTTTTGCACGTCTTCACTTATATCATTCACTCAAAAAAAGAGCATGTTGCCGTTATGTATTCTACTGCACCAACATGAAGACAACTTGCATACGATATAATGTGTGCTTTGCGGGGAAAGCTTCACAAATGTATATACAGTATGCCAGTAATGCGTATCAATAGCCAATGGACACGCGAAATACGCATAAATCTGACTGCCCATCCAAAACATTTATGGAGCACTCACACCAGTGTTACAATACTGTTGTATCTGCATGCCTCTATAAGACAGTGATGGATGAAAAATAACCCACTTTAAAAGCAGGGCCCTGTTATACTTCTGTTATGAGCATGCAATGGGTTATTAAAAGAAATGTAAATTCATTCAAATAAATACAGGTACAATAGAACCCCAGTATCAGCAGAGGATACAGTCCAAGGACCTGCTGTGGATACCAAAACCGTAGATAGTTGCAAACTTTTTTTTTTACATGCCTATGATAACGTTAATTGATAAATTCCGTACAATAAGTGGAGAAATAGAACTTTTTCAGTGATAGGAAGCATTTCATGGCTTCTTAGGCTTTTAAGAGCTAAGAGCAAAATTAACGTTATCCAGCAAAGGCAAACCACAGATGAGGAGTTACTACTACTATTTCAAAAGCATATTTCTAATTTTCCACAGCAAGTCATTACACACAATGAAAAAATTACCTAGTCTGGAGAAGGTGAATGTCAGGACACCCTCCAATCCTGTAAAGAAAGATTAGATTTAATACAACAAGTACAACAAAACAATTAAGATTTTTTTTTTTTTTTTTTTTGTAAACTCAGGCATAGGAATTACTCTACATAACTGTAAAGTGACGAAAATTTCAGGAGACTCATCCAGAATCATCATAATTCAAAGCACCATTGTACCTACAAGTGCATTCAATAAATTTTTAAGGTAATGTAAAAAAAATCTAAATTGCATATAACAGTATGGTTGGTAGAGAGCAACCAACCCAGGTAGGTACTACTTACCTGCCAAGCGAGTAGTAAAACTGATGCCTGTAATTGTTTTACATTATAGTATTGATGGTGTTGCGTCTCAAACGCGCAATTTTTCAGGCATGTCTTTCTACTACTTAGGTCACTACACAAGCATGTATGTATGTATGTATGTACGTACATATGTGCATGTGCACACAGGGTTTTCTATTTTCTTACTAGTTCTTTATTTCCTCTCATCTCCATGGGGAAGTGGAACAGAATTCTTCCTCCGAAAGAGGAGACGAGCATGACGGGAGCAAGGGGCTAGTAACCCCTTCTGTGTACATTATTGAAGTTAAACTTCTTTTGGACCACCCTGCTTTGGTGCAATATGACTGGTTTGTTGAAAGTTTAGAGTATACCAGGTAGTGTATGATAAGGTTATTGAAAGAATTAGAGGCAAGGGAGAGCAGGATTGCAGATGAACAGGCAGCTTTAGAAGTAGAAGATCACTTTTACACTGAAGCATCTAAATGAACAATATTTAGATAAAAAGTAGAGGTTTTCATTGCATTTATGTATTTAGAAAAGCCATATAATAGGATGGATATGAGAGCAATGTGACATGTTGGAAGTGCATGGAATAGTTACTAAATGCTGTAAAGTATTTATAAAGATAGTGAGGCTGAGGTTAGGGTGTGTAGGAGGGTGATTACTTTCTAGTAAAAGAAGGCTTTAGGCAGGGATGTGTAGTGTCACCATGGATGATTAACATTTATAGATGGAGCTGTAAAAGTAGCAAATCCTAGGGTGTTGGGGAGAGGAGGGATTAAATTAAATACAAAATGAAAGTTACTTTTTGCTGATGATACTGCCCTTTGGGGAGATTCTAAGGAGAAGTTGTCAAGGTTAGTGGACAAGTTTAGGAGGGCGTGTAAAGAACAAGTTGAAAGTGAACAGTGATGAAAGCATCAAACTAGTTTACCAGGTAAAGAAAAACTGGATGTGGGGATGAAGCGAGTGTTCAGATATTTGGAGTAGATTTGTAAGCAAATGTGTTGGTTTGTGAAGAATGTTAACCATAGAATTTATGAAGGGAAAAAAAAAAATAGTGCCCAGAGGTATCTGGCGAGAGAAAGAAAAAGAGGGGAAGAGGAAGAGATCATTAATCCCCAGGATGACCAGTATGGAACACATTCGTACAGCATTATGTCAACGAGAGTCAGTTGATCAGATGAAAATGCTGGTCCACAGATTGCTCCAATTTCATCCTGTTCCCTACTTTTATGTCATAATAATAAAAATGCTTTCAAATGAGCTGATGTAGGTAACAGCTCTTAGCTTGTCAAAGCTAGGGATCCTTAACCTAACCTTGCCAAACCCTGGATCCAGGGGGGGGGGGGGGGAAAGAGTGAAGAAAAAAAAAAAAACTACTAAATGTACAAGATTATAGTGGTACCAACACTTGTGGATATGAAGCATGGGTTGTGAATGCTGCAATGCAAAAGGGGCTGCAGACAACGGAGATGTGAAAGGCCAACATGCGGTGTAAATATTATGCAAAGGATTTTTGTGGAAATTTAGGTGTGGAGTTCCTACAAGTATTATTCAGAGGGCTGAAGAGGAGTTATTGAGATGAATTGATCATTTAGAGAGGTGGAGTAGTATAAATCTGTAGGAGGGGAGGGGGGGAGGTAATTATCAAGAGCACAAAAACCACAAGGTCAGAGCACAGATAGGAGGGGGGGGGGGGTGTGCAAGGGGCCTAGATATGCAGCAGGCATGTGAGCATGTTAAGATTGTTGTGAATGGAGACTTAATGGCTTTTGAGACTGGACAAGCTGTTGAACAGGGTAATATTTGTGAACAGATAATTAATACTGTAATCAAGAAATTACAAACCTACAAGGGTCTAAGCCAGACTCGAGTCCTGGAGGTTGGAAGTACAAAGCCTGCATGTTGAAGGAGGGGTTTGGGATATTAGCTGTTTGGAGCGACATCTAAGCCATAACATCTGGGCACCTCTGCAAAGACGGCAATAGTGTGAATAATGGTCACCCTGCCTCTGTAGGATAAGGATAAGTTTATACTGTACTGGATAGTACAGCATTACAGCATGAACAAAAAGCAAAACCTCTCATAACTTTCAGCCATTTAAAAACTAGACAAAACATTGGAAGCAACAGACTGGTTGTCTGAAGCATAATGGTTCAATGACTTGCCAGAGCAGCCATGTCAGGGACATGGCTTTTCATTGTTCCCCCCATGTTGTACGCATTTCATGCCAATTTGTCAGAAATCAGCAATATCTAGTACCCTCTTAACCAGAGTCAGGAGTCACTATCCAATTCTTGATATTTCTACTGCAATGACTAATATGTAGACAACTGCTATTTCATATCTTATGGATGTACTAATAGTGATACTTAAAATACAGCCTCTTATCACTTAATGGAGTTCCGTTCCTAATACAGTGTCGCTAAAAGAGGAGCGTAGTATAACGGTAGTGGGTTTATGGCAACCATCTTCGATATTGCTTTAATGTCACCCTTGAACCATTTATAATATTCAATATGTTTTTAAATGTTATACAGTAGTGTACTGTATGCTGTAAAACAGAATAGAAGGAATCATATCTTACTATACACTTGGGTATGCATTACTGGTCAGAGCCTGTGTAAGTCGTCGGTAAATAGTACGTTGCCAAGCGAGGAGCGGCTGTATAGTATGTTTTCATAAATTTTTATCTAAGCCTCAAACTTTTACCTCAAGTCTGCTTGGTTGACAACCCAGGGGCACTGCAAAGAAAATCAGAACATTAAACATCTACAATTGGAAAATTTAAATGCCCCATAAACAATCTAATCAGAAAATGAATCGTCAAAACCATTACGACGGGGGCATTCTTTTCATCATTGAAACTTCCTTGTTCATGTTAATATTGCACAGATCAAATTATAAATAGGTATGCAAACCTGCTAAAATGTGATGTGACTAACCTATAAAAACAAGTCAAAACAAGAAAACAATGAAAACTGCTTAATATTCCTTCACATGCTTTTATGCATGTACTTCAATAACCAAGCCTATCATGGAAAGCACTAAATCACAAACAGTGCCATTGCTTTGCTAGTGGAGGGACATTCCATGCATGGTTTTAAGAAACCATAGGGCTCAAGGCTAGGAGGGAGAAAAACTGGAAGCTGAGGGGGGGGGACCCCCCCCAAGAGTTTACTCCCCCTTCCCTTGCAACCAGAAAGTAAAAAATGAAAATCTATTATCCCAACTAGGTGCAGGAACAAAATTAAAATCATAATCTAACCTTCCATTTAACTGGGCCAGACAAGAGGAAAGCTTGCAGTCAGACCTGCTAAAGAAAAAATTAATTAGAACATTCAATCACAAAATATTTATTTTTAAATCTAAATAATTCAGTTTTGGCATATTTCATGTATATCAAATAATGTAGGTATAAAGCATCATGATTATTCATTATTAGACAATACAGTGGAACCTCTCTGTATTCCCTAGTCTGCATGTGAAACTACATTTCTTCTCTATAAAATTTATTTTTTGTTAATATTTCCATAAGTTATGTAAACCCAATTAATCCATTTCAGACACCCAAAAATATTAAACAAAAAATACATTTTATAGAATATCTAGTTTTACATACAGACTAGGGCATATGAAAACAGGTTCTGCCATACTTAGGAACCAAGACTATTTAGGTATTCCTGTAGTGATTACGGCAATTAACCAGAAGGAATATTCACTATTTAACGAAACTGCAATAACCACAATTCAAATTACCCATTAAGTTGCAACATTGCATACCCATCCCTCAAAATACAAACACTAAGCCCAATCTCCTGAACTCAGTCTAGGCAGTTTCTGAATGCTACCTTGTACAAATACAAACAGCACATTCTATACCAAACACCACTTCTCTCCATACCTTTCCCTATCTGCTAATCCCCTCCTGAGTGCACAACTGTACAGGTACACCACCAATTTTCCGGCATCCCAGGTTCCAAAGTTTTGTTGAACCAACAGTGATCAACACTAACCCACAAGTACACACTTCCCGTATGTCTAAAACTCCATGGACTTAAATCTTAAAGTGAAGAAACTGAAATTTTTTTTGTTTAATTAATATACATTTAAGAAAATTTATTAATCAATCTGGAAGTCGAGAGTAACGTACTGAAACACCACCTTCCAGTTTTTCCCAACAGTTCAACTGTTTCTTTAATCTATATTGACTGGTTTAGGCTTAACACTACCAATGACACTTTCATATTTAGGCTTAACACTACCAATGACACTTTCATATCTTAGAAGCCATAACTAGGATTAAATTTAAGCAAAATAAGCTCACAAAAGTGAGGTACCACCAGCAAGTACAGTGTACAAACAACCTACATAAACACAGCTACACAAAGCCATGTGGGAAGCCCAGTAAATTGGTCTGACAGGTGCAGGAATTTAAAGTTCCTGCTAGTCATTTTGTCCAGACTAAAGATATTGGACCATCCACTGCCAAAAAATCTTATGTACCTATATTCAAATGTGCAAGTTTCTCCCTCAATGCCAGGACGTCTTCCTCCAGGTTTCTCCCCCTCTTCATCCCTGTATCCCCCTCCCTTCTGTCACTCCCCTAAAACACACCTGCAGGATACTAAAATTACCTTCACCCCACTTTATTAGCATAAATTAATTTAGAATTTTGCACTTTTAAAATAGCCTTATCAATATTTACCTCCAAATACTTCTTAGTTGACAGCCCAAGAGCACTGCAAAGAAAATTGGCATATCAGACATCTACATTTAGAGAATTTAATTTACTGTACTGTAAACAGGCTAATCAGAAGTCGAATCGTCAATAACATTACAACTGGGGCGGTAAGTGTCACCACAAAATTCATTTTTTCAGTTTTGCATAGAGCAAACAGTAAGGCAATTTGGTTCAGTACAAAGGCAAGGGAAGGAAAATTAAAATGTCATGAACCAAGGCACATCCCTAAAGTATCCTGGTTTCTAAAAATTAATTTTAATAAGAATTTAGATTCAACAATACTGAACAAAACCAGATAACAATGGCTACTAACAGCCAGTTCAATACTGGCCTAACAGAACTAATGGAAGGTAATTCAATGCTTCACAATACTTCGAAAATAAAATTTAAATGTTTACCTGATCATGTGGTGGCTGCTCTGCATTTCACAATCCATTTTCTGCAATGCCCCTCTTGAGATCTGTAAAGAAAGTATGGCCTTAAGTTTACTCTACTAGCAACTGAAAATGCAGCACTTGACAAAACCTTTTATTAATACAATGTTTTACCAAGCGGAGAGCTGTACGTTTTAAGCATATGCTAATGTTGGGACAGGCTACGGCAGTATGAAATTCTGATAGTGCACCTCTTGGTTAACAATTGGTTTTCACTCCATTGACAAGTTAATCATATAATCATGGGAACTGCTAGACCATTAAGGCCACACTTCCTAATTTCGGCCAACTCTTATTTTTCAACCAATTTTTTTTTGTTTTTTGGTGTACATTTAGAGGTTCATATGTAAAAGAATGTGACAGTTTCAGTATGATTGGCCAACAAACTGAAAAAAAATATTTTAGCGACTTCATATATGGCAACAAAGTATGACAAAATGGCACTTCGAGTGGCACTTCCGACAATCCCAACCGTTAGAATACATCTGACACTAATTCGGGATGCACATGTTTCATCTAATATATCTTATTATCATGGAAAAAAAAAATACATTTGATAGACTTTATGCATTCACCAAAATATATCTGCCTTTTACCTCCCACATAATCAAAAATATTTGATATATTCCAAAAAAAAAAAGAATCACATTTTCAAACACACTGTTTTATATTGTCAGTGAAAATCATTTCAATACAATCATTAATAATGGTGTACTTTAGCGAAATATGTGAAAAAGTTACTTCCGAGATATAGGCCTAGAAAACGTCGGCAGGCCTACTGTCTCAAAAAATTTTTTTGCGCGGAAATCGCGTTTTTTTCGGTGTATTTCTTAGTAAACTGATGTTCTAGTGCAGTTATCCTCTTCAAAACACCGTTTTCTATCACTCACATACCAAACAATACAACTAGGAGACGAGTAGTAACACATTTATATCGAAATATTGCTGGTGGACTCTCACTATATTATGGCCTATTTTATTCAGTCTAGAGTATATAACATGTTTGTTTTGTTATTTATAGTGTTTATTATATCATATTAGATCAATTCTGATAGATAAATAAGCCATATAGTTGATATATAAGCTGATATAAACGTAATAATGAAGTGATTTCACCTGGCACCATCTGGAGGGGGAGCATTGCCGAGTGTACCCAGGTGCTTCCTGATAGGCTAGACGTCTATTGATAAGCTCCACTTACTCTTATATGATGCCAAATAATCTATTATATTAGAAAGAATAATGCAAAGAAAAAGCAATAAAAAACAAGGAAAAAAAATTCCAAAAAATACATGGGTTGAGAACAGACGCGCTACCTACATCGTCGTTACCATACCTGATATAAATGACTATAATTTCTTGTAGAAACGTCTTAGAACATTGATTCTTGTACCTTTGTGTTGCCAAAGAGTTAAGCTATTTTTCGGTACATCTAACTCAATTTCCATAATTTTTCGATTTTTGGTCGAGCGCGCGGAAAATTGCCCAGATTCTACCCTTAAGAGTGCTTGGGGAATGGAAGGCAATAAGGTTCTAACAACCACTAGCATGAGAGCACCCAAGGTTAAGAGCATGTAGTCTAAGGAATGAGAGTTAAGAAAATTCTACATTTGCACACCTCAAAGTAATGAAAAAGAAATCCTGTACTGCATTTAAATTCCACCCTCCCTTACATGGCAAACAGTTCCTGAATCTGCAACGTGAGGAAAAAGAAATTGTTCAAAGAATTTACCTTGTTTGATATTCAGCCCAATGATAAAACTTGCAAAGAAACACTAATTTAATATTTGCTTTTAAATAGTGCCATAATTCATACAATCAGTATTACTAATCAAGTCGTCAACTTGGTTACGATAAAAGCAAAAATTTATGTACACTGACAATTTATCATTAACCAATGCCAAAATTCAATTATCTTAAAAATTTTTATACATTTAAGTGACCTGAATTACCACACCAGACAACAGCAACAAAACCTTTCCCCATTACAAAATACAGTGGAACCTTGACTTACGAGTACCCCTAACATGTTTTTAGAGTTAGAAGCTGTTTGGCCGCCACTAGTTTGCACCACGAATGCCACAGCTCAGCAGTGCACGTGTTAACCTTACTGTGGAAGCATTTTTGTGTTGTGCTTTAGTTTCGTGAAGCTATTTTGCCAAATTTCTCTTTTCTAACAATGGGTCCTAAGAAAGGAAGTGCAAAGGACAGTGCCGAGAAGAAAGATATCCAATAAATTAAAGAATGAAATCGTAAACATGTGCGAGGTGTGTGGACTTTGCCAGGCAGTACCAGTATAGTACGTACTTCTACGATATGTACAATACTAAAGCAGAAAGAGTTGATAAAGGCTATAGCGCCAGCCAAGGATGTTACAATAATGCAAGTCCAACGATAAAGTGTAGCAGGAAGCCTATCTTTTCCCACTCTCCTCCGCCAGAATCTGTTCTCCAAGTTAAATACGTACAGATAAATAAACTGTAGAGTAGACAAGCGTTATGCAAGAAAGGTATAAAATACCGACAATATTAAAGTTAAGACATGTGCAACATCTGGATATCTTTATTGCAGGCGTTTTGCCATCCAGTGGCTTTATCAATACAGATTCTAGGACATAATAGGAAGTCAGTAGAACTATATATAAAAGATGAGGTAATCAGTCCCTCAGCCTTGTGAGTTAGTGTTCACAGCATCGATGCTGTGAACACTAACTCACAAGGCTGAGGGACTGATTACCTCATCTTTTGTATATAGTTCTACTGATTTCCTATTATGTCCTAGAATCTGTATTGATAAAGCCACTGGATGGTGAAACGCCTGCAATAAAGATATCCAGATGTTGCACATGTGTCTTAACTTTCACAAGTGTTATACTGAAGTACTCTCTTTCCTTCCTCCCAAAAGCAGGAATTATGCAGCAATGGATTAATGGCATTTCAATAAGGAAAATTTATCTGATTTATGAGCAAACCGAGTTACGAGCTAGCTCATGGAACAGATTAAACCAAGTCAAGGTACCACTGTAGTTTCAAATGCTAAGGTTAGAGCTGCACTCTAATTTATAACAAACTAATGTTTAGTTACCTGATCAGCAAGTCCTCTGTCTTGCACTTCTCATTCCACTACTGCACCTAGGAAAAATTACAAACTGTATATACTGACAAACATTGTTCTGTAAAATACCCTAAGATAATGTTTGTTCAGTTATTGTGTTGTAAACAATGAGTGTATATTTGAACAATGCACCTTGGGTCTCAGGCCACACAAGTTACTTAGAAAAGAAAAATATTGGAAAATACAAGAAACCTTCGAATTGGAGTAAATAAAATACCGGGTGGGTGGCATTCGCCGCTGCTGCCATACGCCGCTCATTTTCTGCCAACTTTGAGCCTCTGTCGGCAAGTACTGATGGCAAAAAAAATTTTTTAGGCTTAAAACACTCGGTAAAATAACATTTTGGCAAGAAAAATTTTTTTTCGAATATTTTGCGACAGAACGAGTTTCAGAAAGGGGCCTGCGACAGTCAAAGGGTTAACCACCTAACAAATTGCACCAAATATCTGAACACTTCCTCCATACCCAAACTCCTAATCTGACATACCTCTTGCATACTCTTCTCAAATTCATTTACTAATCTCTGCAACCTCCCCCTCTCCCAGCCATATTCATCTCTCCAAATACCAATAAATTTTTAGGCAGATACTGATATCAAAATTAGAAGACACCAATCCTGATAGTGAACACTAGGATGTTGATGTGTGGGACTGACAGGGAATTACATCTTTCATTTTATATAGAGTAAATTACCCATTTGTTGAGAGAAAAAAAATAAACTTACCACTGATAAGGATATTAACTTGTCCCAGTGATGCAACATCATTACCTGTTGAAGAAATTATTTTAATTACAATTTCCTTCCAAATCTTACAGTAACTTCCCTCAAAATTAAGCCATGTCACCCTTCGACAGGTTCACAAAAAGATAATCTTAGTGTGAGTTTTTAAGGGTCCATTCTCTGCCCCAAATTTAAGCAACCACCAAAATAAGAGTAACTTCAGTGATGGATTGTAAGGGGAAAATGCAGCCTAGAGATTTCCCCCCCCCCCCCCTCCAAAAAAAAAAAAAAATCTGTCCAGTACAGTACGAAGAATTATTTGTATTTAAGAACCCCCCCCCCCCCCAACTGGATAACACTGATGTCAGCAGTTGAACAGTGGTACACGAAGAGGCCTACTGGCCCAAGCTAAGCAGGTCTACGCTTTCCTTTATCTACATTCTTCCAACTGTAATCTATTGTTGGAAGTATTGTCCTTAGCATTTTCAACACTTATTCTATTCATACATTTCATCCATTCCCTCCCCCCCTTCATTCTACATCATTCCAAGAATGCATATTCTTATCTTCATAGGAAAGACTCCTAGTTTAGAAAGATGCTCAAGTAAATATGTACTAGGACATTAGAAAATGTTCTGATCCTGGTTCTTATCACTTATAACGTGCAGAGGCTAAAAAGTTTATATAGGCGGAGAGAAGTGCGAGTGATGAACAGTGACCTGAAGAATGCCATATTGGGATGAGGACAGGTAGATATAGGAGTCACATGATTACATTCTCTCCTTGTCCTCATCCCAATATGGCATTCTTCAGGTCACCATGCATTACTTTTACTCGCTCTGCCTATAAACTGCTTTTTTAACCTCTGTACATTAGAAGTGATAAAAGTCCTAGGATCAAAACTAACGAGTACTAGCGTTTCCTTGTGGGTTTTTCTAATCCATTTCAAGATTTGTACAAGCCACAAGTTAATTCTTTTGCAAATTGCTAGAGGTAGAATGAAAGTGCTTACAGTGATTCAGCCAATGCATTCCATACCTCAGTGTATGGGGGCTAAGAGGTCCATAAATGGAAAACAGGAATAAAGTATATGTAAATAACATGCTAAACTTGATCAAGACAGGACTCTCAGCAGGGTTAAAGTTGGAAAAACTTTAATTTATAAATATAGGAAAGCACTGGTTTAGCAATAGTGGTGTGGAAGAGTGGAACTAAATGTCACAAGCTAAAATGTTATCTAGTTTTAAGAATAGGTTGGACAAATGAGTGGGTGTGAATTTTACCCGACTATTGTTAAAAATGGTATAAAATACCGACAAGCTGAAAATTAAGACGAGCAACAGTTGGGTATCCTTATTGATGAAATGGACTGATTACGTGTATTTCATTACTGCTGCTCCCTCTGTATTTGACAGAAGCCTAGTGTAGGCAAAATATTTCATAGACATTCGTCTCTCAGCCCTTGAGTAGAGAGGACGTGTGCTGCTGCTACCCCCTGGTGTTGATTAGTGGCAGTTATATTTTCACAGCATGGCGCAGGCAAGCCGGAGACGCATAAACACAGTCTGTGTTGAGCTTATCCGTGGGGCTGTGACAGGAACTTCTATGGACCTGATACTACCTGCAATCATACGAGATACATATGGTATTGCTGACGAGGAGATATATGGAGTAGCGCTGAATGGCACGACGAGGATCCTTGTTCAAGTTTAATTTGGCAAGTGGTATGAGGCGGTGTGTAGAACAAAGTACCAGGAGGTAACTTTGCAGTTAACTCCGCTGTGACCATTGCGACTTCACGACGTTTCTCGCCATTACACCTGGTTAAGATTAGAAATGTGCCATTCAAGGTGGATGATTATGACATCCAAGTCTTGTGATGGGCCAAATATGGTACAGTACATATGGCCACTGTTGGGAAGTTGGCCACTGGGCCATACGCCAGGGAAACTCGAATAGGAACGTATTCTGTGAAGATGACGGTTACGTTACCCTATTCCGTCGTACGTAGTGCTGCCAGAATTTCGTACCCAGGTGTTTGTGCCATACGTGGGCAAACCGCAGGAAACCTGTCGGGTTAATGTGGGTCCATATTGATCACCTAGCGGCTCTTGTGTGAAAGGAGGCGTGGGCAACATGGAACAAAAAGGCACGACATACAGCAATAGAGAAGAGTGAGAATTTGCCTTATGTGACTGCCTAAACAAGGTGGGGTCCTGGAGTGAGGAGGTCGAGAGGCGGAGGAGGAGATGGAGTCAGCAGGTGTTGACGAGGGGGGGACACCCCTTCATTGAACGCAGCTCGGTGTTGGAAGAGGGGACACCCAGACTGCGAGTGCTAGCGATGTGGAAGGACTCATTAGCCATGGCTTTAATGTGTTATTGGCTGACAAGAGTATTGGGAAGGTTGGGAGTCCATATCTAGATCTTGGGTCTGTTGTGGATCCGGCGTGGAACAGGATTGAGGTCGGCGCAGTTGATAAGAATATTTTGATTTAGCAAGCTGTGGAGGTGTGTGGTCCACGGGACAATGTATCAGACGACATGGATGCAAAGCAGAGGGGACCAGCATCACGGGAAGCGCGCTGCTGCCGCTATCTGACTCGAGGAACGTGATCACGCGCTCATGCGCCTGCAATAAGTCCTGGGCGGAAGTTGGAAGTTACGCAGAGAGGGACACAGCGGCCCTAAAGGGCAGGAGTTGGTTAAGAGGTTTCTAAAGGGGGGGAGAGGGACGAGGTGTACGAAATGGACTCTGGTGGCATGACAGTACCAGAGAGTTCAAGAAGGAAAAACCACTCTGTAAGCTTCAAGTGCATGACATAGAACATTAATGGATTGAGTCAGAAGGAGAAGTGTGTATGGTTTAGTGAATTTTGGTGTAATAGTGTTGACGTGGTGTTCGTGCCAGGAAACACAACAACAGACCAGGTTAGAGTTGAAGGGGTTAAATGGTATAATGTGTAGTTGAGCATGCGATTAAGGTTGAAAGGAGGAGTGCCATCCGGTAAGGGAACTAGCCCGTTGTTATAGGAGGCCATTGTTGAGGGTGGGGAGGGGAGGTGATTCGTGTAGTGGGTGGTGGGGTAGGGTACAGATGAGTTGGTGTGTGTGTGTATGGTCCAGCAAGAGAGGGAGATGTCGCGTATTATTAATTAAATTTGTGAAGGAGCTCCTAGTATATTATTTGCGTTGCTTTGCCGTGTTTTTGTAGCGGTAACTGGTGGTGATTGGAATTGTGTGATAAGCGTAAGATGTGGAACCTAGGAGGGGGCAGGGGTATCGTTTGGGGATTTTGGGGGGAAGTATTAAATGGAGGTGGGTGTTAATGGACGTTGGGACGGGGATGGGTTGGTAGAACATACTTTTGTTAGACGTGGATAAGTGCAAGGACTGGATCGGATTGTATGTGCCCCGAACAGTATTAGTGAGCAGATCGGTGTGGTGACGCGGTTTTTTCGGATCACAGAGGTGTAATGGTGGGACTAGAATGGGAGGGATTGCCTAGAAGGGGTCAAGGTTATTGGAAGTTAAAAGTGAAGCTTTTGCAGGGTGAGGATGTCGTCAGTCTTTTGCGCATTGTGGGAACGGTTGGTGGATTGAGGCGCCGGGGGCGGGGATGATGAACTGGTATAATTGGTGGGATTCTGGTGGCTAAAAATCGTATAAGAGAATATTTATTATTGTCGTGGGTGGGAAGATAATCGGTTAAAGTATGGGGTTTCAAAGTATCTTGAAGGGCAGCTGCGGGAAGGGACTTATGCAAGAGGAGGGAGCTAGCTATCAGTGGGACATTGAGGTTTAAAGGCGTGTATTAGGGTATTGCAAGACGAGCGTTTTGATGGTGTGCGGGAATTATGGGAGGATTGGAAAGAAGTGCTATGGGGGTGAGCCGGCCGTCGGCTTGCGTGTTAAGAGGCCAGAGAATAAATGTGAGGAGGTGACGATGGAGATGATGGGGTTTTAAAAGTACTTTGTAGTGGATGGAGGGTATAGAGCGGTTCAAGGCTCATTGGTAACGACAGAGGATATGAGTGGTTATGTGACGCTTGGTTTTTAAGTCGGTATACGCAAAGTTGTGGGGCCTTCGTGAGTGGCATTGAGGGAAATGGGAGAGTATGTTGCAGTGTGAGCTTGATGGTCAAGATCGGGTGACATTAAGGTGGGCCGATTAGGAGTGTGAGATTTGGCAGGCGTTGTCAGGATGTGAGTTTGGGAAAAAGCACCGGGTATTAGAGGGGACTGCCAAATGATTTCTACGTAAAGAATGGGGGGGGTTCTGAGGTTTTTTTTTGTAAGGCTGTTTAACATACTTAAGGCGGGATGAGGTTTAATGGGAGAGCAGCAACTGACGGCCGTTAGTGGTGTTGGGCGAAAAAGGGGGATCAGTCAACGGTAATGGATTATCGGGCACTTTCGCTTATGTGTGGAGATTATAAGTTGTTTGCGAGAATATTAGGGACAGAATCAGGGGTAATAGGCAAGGTAATTGATAGGGGGCAATATGGGGTGCCCGGAAGGTCGATGTATGAAGGGCATGGCATAATTCGAGAATTTATAGAGAAAACAGGGGGGAGTTGGTGATGGGGGTGTATTGGGTTAGATTGGAAGGCTGCTTATGATAGTGTAGAAAGGGAAAGGGTTATGGCAGGGTTATGCGGTTGCAAGGTTTTGGGGAAGAAATAATATCTTGTGCAAAAATTATGGTATAGGGGGCCATCGTGAGGGTGCAGGTTAATGGGAGGCTAGGAGTTAAAATACATTTTATAGGGCCATTCGGAGGTGTGTTGCGGGAGGTGGGGAGGGTACTGACCGGGGGGGAGGGGGGGGCTGGGTATCGTAGGTTATGTGGATGACACGACTGTTTTGGTGAGAGGTAATGGGGATTTGCTTAGGGTGGGTAAGGTTGTGGATGTGTTAGGGAGGCTTCAGGTATGAAAATTAATGTTGAGAAGACTAAGTTTGTAGACTTAAGGGATAGTACAAATGGGCGGATGAGCAGGTGGTAGGGGGTGGGTGGGAGGTGGTGGATAAACTAATGATATGTGG